GTGTCTGACATGGTAGAGTCTCCACACTGAGTGCAGGTGTGAGAGACAGTCTACACTAAGTGTCTGACATGATAGAGTCTCCACACTGAGTGCAGGTGTGAGAGACAGTCTACACTAAGTGCCTGGCATGGTAGACAGTCCACACCAAGTGCCTGGCATGACAGAGTGTCCACACTGAGTGCAGGTGTGAGAGACAGTCTACACTAAGTGCCTGGCATGGTAGACAGTCCACACCAAGTGCCTGGCATGACAGAGTGTCCACACTGAGTGCAGGTGTGAGAGACAGTCTACACTAAGTGTCTGACATGGTAGACAGTCCACACCAAGTGCCTGGCATGACAGACAGTCCATACCGAACGGCTGGCATGATGGAGTGTCCACACTGAGGAGCTGGTGTGGTAGACAGTCCATACGGAGTAGCTGCCATGATAGGCAGTCTACACCGAATGCCTGGCTTTGTAACCACAAAACTGGAAAGTTTGGAAGACAAGGTTAATGGAAGTCAGATGGGACTCAGGGAGGATTTAGAGAAAATGGAGAGATAGTCTCATGCTAGGAGAAAGGGACACAGCAGAAAAATGTTTGGATATGATGCTGCTCTGATTGTGGGAAGCAAGAAAGGTAGACAAGAGAACTTGGGGTCTACTAAAGACTTTTTCATGTGGAGTTAGAGATAACACCCAAGTGTTTCTTATTAGAGGCGGGCTGGGGAGATGGCTCAATAGGTCAAGTGCTTGCTATCCAAGAATCTGATGCCCAGAAGCTATGTAAAAGCTGGGTGCAATGGTTAATATCCATAAGACTGAGATCTGGGGAAGGCAGGGAGACAAGTGAATGTTGCAGTCTTGCTGGCCAAGCTGATCCAGCTGAAACCACAGACTGCAGATTCACTGAGAGTCTGTCTCAAAACACAAGGCAGAGAGCCATGGAGAAAGACATCTCATGTCAACCTGTGGCCTCCACATGCTCATACCCAGGTAAGCACTATCGCAAAAGCAAGTGAGCATGCACGCACACACACACACACACACACACACACACGTACATACACATATGTGCACACACCACAGTAACTGTGAGAGGGAACGTGAACAGAAGAATGAATTATTGTAGCTACAACTAGAGTTTAAAGAGAAAATATTGAATCCAGGGCACTCTTTCCAGTCAGTGGTATAAGATTCTCAAGGTAAGAAAAGATTTCTGCGTAAACACTACATCCAGGGTCCCATGAGGAAAATGTGTCCTCAGGGGGATAAAGATGATAGGGTCAAATATAAAGTCATTTGTTAAGACACAGAATGAGCAAGGCAGTGGTGGCACATGCCTTCAATCCCAGCATAATACTGGGAAGCAGAAGCAGATGGATCCCTAAGGCTAGCCTGGTGTACAGAGTGAGTTCTAGGACAGTCAGGACTACACAGCAAAATCACGTCTTAAGAAAAAGAGAGGGGGGGAAGGGAGGGAAGGGAGGAGAGGGGAGGGGAGGGGAGGGGAGGGGAGGGGAGGAGAGGAGAGGAGAGGAGAGGAGAGGAGAGGAGAGGAGAGGAGAGGAGTCAGAATGTGGTGTGTTACATCATAGTCTCTTTTAGGCAGACAAAGACCTGGAGATTTTAAGGGCGTACTTCACCATCCTCGCTACTAAATAATATAGTGCTGAGACTGTGAGGCATCATTCCCAGAAACCTCGAGGACAGTTCAAGGTTCAGCCAGGCTTATCTCACAGAGAAGAACCTTTAACTTGTGTTTAACTAAAGAGGTTTATAAGGGGCACATAGAAGCACACAACGTTTCTTGAGGATTCTGTCAGGGTGGACTGAGAAGGCTAGGGACAGCCTGAGATGAATGAGCTTTCAGGCTTGCAGAATTTGGAGGGCGAAGAAAGACCGGCTAAGTCTGCTTATCCTGGCCAATTTTATGTCAGCTGGACACAAGTTAGGGTCATCTGGAAGGAGGGAGCCTCAGTTGAGAGAATGGCAATAAGATCAGGCTGTAAGACATTTTCTTAATTAGTGATTGATGTGGGAGAGCCCAGTCCATTCTGGGTGGTACCATTCCTGGGTTGGTAGTCCTAAATTCTATAAAAAAGCAGGCTGAGCAAGCCAGGGGAAGCAAGTCAGTAAGCAGCACCCCATGGGTGCTCCTGCCTCCAGGTTCCTGCCCTGTGTGAGTTCCTCACCTGACTTGCTTCGATGATGAACAGCGACCTGGAAATGTAACCCACTGTTTTCCTCTCCAACTTGCATTTGCTCTGAGTGTTTCACCATAGCATAGTAACCCTAATTAAGACAAGTTGGTTGCAGAATTGTGGGAGGGTAGAGGCCTGGCTTGTGAAATTTTAGAGGGAAGATTTAATGCCTCGATTGGGGTCATTTGTTACTGCGAATTAAGGTTCTATGGTTCTAGCTAGCTGGGGTGAGAATCAGCTGTGATTAACAGTGTACAGAACCTGCTAAGGTGAGAGATTTGTTTTACTGGGATACTCGATGCTGGTCGGCTGGAGCAGAGAAATCGGCTGTGATTAAGAGACCAGCATTGTTGAGGTGGAATCTTCTGAGAAGTGCTTCCTGAGAGTCAGCACACAGAAGCTGTGCTCCAGAGGGGGCCAAGGTTGTACCGAGGACTGACAGTCAAATTTGGAAGTGGAAGAGTCACCTAGATGGTACTGGTTTTGAAGGCATAAATGGAAACCAGCTGAGGCTTGCTTGCCACTGTGAGAGGCCAGGAGAGGCCACTGGCAAAGATACAGCCTCAGTGGCAGTTGAAGGCCCAGGATTGAAGGGGTCATACAGAGAAGTTGAGGTTTGGCACCATGAAGGCAGCCTAGGAAAGGTTATTGGTGACAGTGCAGCCCAGTTGCATTCTGAAGATGCCAGCATCGTGGGAGCCATGGAATGGGGCACCACGCTGAGAAGACAAGCTGTGTGTGCTGCAGAGGGCAGAGGTGGGGAAGTGACCCAAGCCCTTTGGAGGAGTCCAGAAGACCATGAGTGAGTCCCGGATATTGGTCATTGCATGCACTTACACGGATGGGATTTTGGTTTGGTTTTAATCTGGTTGTAACTGTGCCCTGGATCTTCCCTCTTGAATAAGAAAGTCTCTAGCTTATTTTTTTTTTTATTTTACTGGAGCCTATAGCTCAGAGACTGAATTTTTAAGGAGATTTGGGTTTTTAAAGAGACTGGATTTTAAAGTATTTTGATTATAAATTTGTAAAATGTTTTATGCTCTGATGTTGATGTTAATTTGTGCTATTGGGGATGAACAAGAAAGAAAGGTGGTGTCTTAACAGTGATGTGTTTGTGTGTCAAGTTGGCGATGGGTCAGTTGTCCTGCCTATTTTTATGTCAACTTGGTACAACTGAAGTCATCTGGAAGGAGGGAGCCTCAACTGAGAAAATGCCTGCACAAGATCAGACTGTAAGCAAGCCTGTGGGGCATTTTCCCTATTAGTGATTGATGGGGAGGGCCCAGTCCATTGTGGGTGGTCCCATGCCTGGGCTGCTAGCCCTGGGTTCTATAAGAAAGCAAGCTGAGCAAGCCAGGGGAAGCAAGTCAGTAAGCAGCACCCCCATGGGCTCCGCAGTAGCTCCTGCCTCCAGGTTCCTGCCCTGGCCTGCTTCAATGATAAAACCTAGAAGTGCAAGCCACCCTTTCCTCCCCAATTTGCTTTTGCTCAGGATGTTTCAGCATCGCAATAATAACCCTAACTGAGGCACTGTGTCAGTCTGCTGCCCAGATCACTGTGCTCTGTGCTGACCTTCGAGTTGCTTTACCCAGGGACATGCAGCAGAACTGACGCTGTGTGACTTCTGAGCGTCAGCCTCAAGGGCCCTTGCAACCTCCTTTTTGGCTCTCTCAAAAAACTGTTGCCTGTGCACAAGCCCAGCCTGGCCTCCTGGAGAGTGAGACTTCTCATGGAAAGAGGGAGTCCTGAGACCTCTGCCATCTCAACCATTCAGCCAAGCCAGCTAAGGTCCCATACATAATATATGACCATCAGACCATCTGTTGTCACATCTGTTATCATCCAGACATCATTCTCTGTATTCCACACCCGTAACTTCCTCCTGCACACCACCCCCCCATCTCCACCCCCCATGCCCCATCCACCCACTCCCCAGCCACATACCAACAACAACCTAATGCAAGTGTGTAAAGGAGCCTAGAGGAGTTCATTAGCCAAATTGTCAATCCACCAAATTGCAATCAATTGATTGCAATAACTGACTGTTGCTGGTAACCAGCCATTACATTTCAGGACAGTTTGTTAGCAATAGCAATAAATAACCAAGACAGTCTTCAAAAGTACACACTCAAGATAAACCTCCCAAAAAGTTTAAATGAATTGTACAAAATTCAAACAAGCAGGAGAGAATTGAGTGGGCCAGAATCCAGGTTCCTCGAGCAACAAGTTAAAGCTTTTGTCACAGTGCCCTGCCGCTTCCTGTTAGCTTTTCAACTACTAAAAAATAAGAGAAAATGGAATGGAATGACCTAAAGAAACTAGGTAAAATGGCAAAAGGAAGCTTTAGCAGAGGAATATTTAGCTAAACATATCATTGAACATGCACCTTAATGAATACTTTCTACATGTGCTTGATCTAGGCATATTCTTGACATATATTAAAACTATATGCAACAAGTTTCAAAACAATGATTTTTAGCACTTAAGAAAGAACCTTCCCTAAAATTAAATCCCATGAATTGCATCACCATCTGCAGATGTTCGTGACTAGACTCTTCCCCAGAACCGCACATCTGCTTCCATTTCAGAGTACCGAACAAAGACACTGAGCACATGACGGTGAACAGAAGCAGTCGTGGACATGGAGGCCATGTGGACACCACAATCTCACACAATACAGCGCTCCCTCTCTCCCACAAATGCACTGACATGTACACAGTGGGAAAGTATGGCGCAGAGATGAGGCAGATGTCGACAGATGAGTTTACACACAGACACGGAATCATGCCCCATCACACAGAGGGTGTGCGCTTACCTTTTTTTGACATATAGCAGATATTTCAGCTGTAAGGGGAAGGTACACAAAATATCAACAAAGAAAGAGAGCCCATTTTAAATAAGGGCAACCATGAAAAGTAATTAAAAAATACAGTCTTAGTAATGCGAACCAATGGATTTCATCAGAAAGCTTTGGATTTGCCTCATAAATTGTCATCGACATTTATTGGCCTCTATTTTTCCCCCAAAGCAAAAAGTATCTTTCTCACTCTTCTAATATTTTAGGTTTTATTCCGTGCTGTAACTGTCTTCTACTTATAGGTCTAATTTAACCTTCTCAAATATGTTAAGGAAATCAGTCAGGCTAAAGCCATACAACGGTGATCTCATCAGACAGTCAAACTCAGAAGTCTTACTGGGGACCAGGGAAGCCACCAGTGTTGAAGCTGTGAGAGCAGCAAGGACTCTGGCCTTTCTGTCTCTGCTCTTTCTGTGACACTCATGCGGAGGGATGGGCTGTGCTTAGCACACATCCATGAGATGGTCTGAAATGTCAAGACGATGAGATACACTTATCTTGGTCTACTCTGACTTGAGCTATTGCTATTAACTAGTGCAAAGCAGCCTTGTGGTTACTTAGAAAAAAATCCTTCATCAAACATGAGTAGATCCATTAGATCAAGGCGGTCAAACTGCTGTCGACTAATGAGGCTGACTTTTGTGAGAGCATAAGAATCCTTTTCAGTTGGCATACCAAGTGTTTCCATGGAAACTGATATCTTGAGAGTAGTTGAAAATAATTTTTCCGAGAATCTATCACTATTTCCCTTAAAATAGTAAGGCCCCAAGAAATGGACTGGCACTTTATTTATAGAATTGTCTGTGTTACAGTAACTCAGAAGATTAAAGGAAGGTATTTCCCAAACCCTGCCTGTTAATTAGAAATTAATGGATACAAAATCAGTAAAATGTATAACTTGGTTCTTAAAAATCATCTTATATAACTACTTGATAACCTGCTGTTTGCATGCAGTAATCTGACGAGAATGTCACAACTCTGGGAGAACAACCAAAAGCTCTTTCAGTTCTTCCACAGATGAGCATCATCTAAAAATGAGAGCTAGAATTCAGAAACATGCCTGATATTTAGCAGGGGCTAGTATTCTAGAAACTGAACATTGCCATACGCTCCTATAGAGCCAGCTACTCAGGAGACAAGAGGCTGATTGAGTCTGGGAGTTTAAGTCCAACCTAGGCAATACAGCAAGAGACTGCCAGTTATGAAAACAAAAAACAAAAACAAAACAAAAGCAAGCCGTCCAGGGTGGGGCACGTTCAGTACTCGGGAGATAGAGACAGGGAAATCCAGGGTTCGGTGCCAGCCTGAGTGACCCTCTAAGAAGAAACCAACAAAATACAGTGGCACGGACTTCTGAATGTGACTGTCCAACATCAGGCACCAGAGGTTCACTAGGAAAGTGGCCTGATGCATGACTCTGTCCATACTACAAGCACAAAGCTTCCTACAGATGAAGGAAATTTTCAAAATGTCCCTGAAAGGAAATGGAGGCTGACGGCATCGCTCTGTGTTACAGGTGGCACTCATCAAATTAACTTCTCTCTTAAAGTTGACAAAACCTAATATTAAAAAGTAGGATTTCAAAGAAGTAGTGTACTCTAAATTAAAGCAGGAGCTCACGGCCCGTGTTAGCATGGGGCTTCCCACGGCCTCTCCTGCTTGTCCCTTCACTCTCTGTGTCTGTAGTCACAGCCTGTGCCGTGTGCCCTATGGGGGTCATTGTGCCTCCGCCTTTCCTACCCTCAGCCTTCCTGAGCAATTTTTCTTTTTGCAACATCCCTGAAAAGGAGGCTGGAACACGCAACTTCTCCGTGTGTGGCGACCTAGCAACTCCTAGCAGACTCTAACAGGCTCCAAGGAGTATCGCACACCTTACCTTTTTATTATAATACACTAGATACACTTTATCCCTTTCTTACTAATTGGGAGGCCAGCTCTCAGAGCAATTAAAGGACACTGCCCCCAAAATACAGAGCCAGCAGGAAAAAAAAGCACCGTGGTTCCCTTTCTGACTTAGCACAACACATCATTGGTAGCATGTGTTCTACACACAGAATATTCCTCAGGACACAACTCAGCAGGGCTTAGGTCATACATGATGTTGATTATAATATCTAACCTTAATTTTTGGTAGAACTGATAGTGCCTTCCCTTGTTATGAAGTGTTTAGGCAATATTATAAGCAAGACATTGACATAACGCTGCAGGTCAGTGCACATCCCTGAAATATGAGGCTTTGGCTGCTGTCTTTATAAAATAGCACAGAAGGAGATAAATCAGCCATGTCATTAGTCATCCTTACTCATTATTCACCCTCTCTGAAGAACACCTTACCTTGTGGCAGGAGAACATCAATCAGCCACTCGCTGTGGTCCCTAGGAAGAAAAATGGAATTGGTTTCTGAGCTCCGCTGGACTGTTCCCCTGCGCATGCTCGTCCGTGAGTTATAGACTACTGATTGAAGCTATTCATAGGGAGTGTAATTAAGAGCACTGTTGTATGAACTTTTGAGCATCTAATGCATCCCAGTCAATCTATAAATTACGAGCATTCCTCGTACTCCGTTGTCCGTAAACTATGGTTTCTCGATGTTAGTTCCGCCAACCCAGCCCAGACACGGGCCATAGACATGGAGCTGAGCGAGACCACGAAGGACAGCTCACAAGGACAAAGAGCCCACTGGAGTGATGACACACTGGCTTTGGAAACTCCAGCCTTCTCTAGCATCAGGCTTTCTCTACAGCCTCTTCTTAGAGAGGCTGCTTCAGAATCAGAGCTGCTCCATTGCTTGGAATTTCCTTCTTGTGTCCTCTAAAGACAGATGTGGCAACTTGTGTCTTTGATTGAAATCGCCCAAATTGTGTTAAACATCAGACAAACAAATCTCTAAAAGTCACAATAAGGCTGGCAGGAAAGTCGAGTAACCAACCTTGGGGCAAACAACTTTCCTTGCTTCCTGGTTCTCATACCTACCCTGCAATCCTCTCGCTGCATTCTTCGCAGAGGTACAGTGGAGGTGGCTTATCACCCAAAGCCACTGATAAGGAAGGGTCTATACACATCTGAAACAAATGACAAGACAGAATGACCCTTCCTGCTCTGATGCACCACATCCCCAGTCTATGAGATGCATACCATATATGGATAGAGGCAGCGTTTTATAATCAAGGTAGAAGAAACTGGTTTAGTAAACCACCTGCTCTGCTGAGAAGCCCACACTGGGGATGTAAATGTGCCTGCCAGGGTTCCTCTGTCTGGCTATTTGCAATTCAAGTACCAAACACTGTCAAGAAATCTTCCCTCCTGCCACAAAGCTGAAAAATCCCCCTGTTCTCAGGCTACTCAATTGTGTTATATCGGTGACAAACACAGCAATCTCTCTTTAGGAAAAGGAAAATCCATCATTAAGAGTTCAGTTCAGAATCATTAGCTGCCATCCAAATGCTAGCAGCAGACGTCACAGGAAATCTAGTACCGAGGGGTGCTTTTCCTCATTCCTGAACCTCAGCTCTCACTCACGCTTACAGTGCCCCATTTGTGCTTTTCTCCCCACCCCCAACCTGCAGCTCATTTACCCCATGCCTTGTTGTCTATGTCCCAGCAGAGACACAAGTGTTCATGTCACATTGTCAGGGTGGCTGAATATTTTCAATCAAGTCAACAGTCAGGTAACTAACTGTGCTTAAACTTCCCATCAATTCAACTTTCTAGTATTTCAAAAGTCATCCTGCATTCTGTGCCTGCCTTCAAGAATAATACGCCTCTGATTTAGCTGAGTACAAGGTAATATGCCTGGTACACACACTCTTCTTCCTTTAGCTTTTTTTCATTTACTTGAAGGAGGAAAATAACCCACATTTACAACCCCACCTATAATTCAGAGCCAAAATCTTGAGAGGTTTTAGTGATGGGATCAATACCAAAATTGCTAAATTTAAATAATTAAGTCAACAAAGTTCATAAGTTGCATATTAGCTGATGCCAACAATCTACTGTGAAATATTTCCTATGTAAATTTCTTGATTCTTTAGACACAATTAGTAACTACTGTTTGGTCTGTGAGAGTGGCAATTTTTTCACAAATAATCAAAGAGTAAGTATTTTAGGTTTTGTGAGCCATATACTCTCTGTCACAACTACTCAACTCTTCAGGTATTGCATAAAAGCAACCACTCTGTAAGCAGACGAGCAAAGCTGCATTCCAATAAAACTTTATTGATGGTAACAAGCAGCAGACACATTAGCAGCAGACACATTAGCACCACAGGTTTTCTGACCCTGTCTTATATAATTCTCTGGGCTTCAGCCAATTTCATAAAGCGAACTTTAAATGGAACCAGGAATAACCAAAAGTGGAATGTGACATAAGACTCTAAGTTCTGACTTGTTTTCGCCCCATCCCTATGGCAACGGTTGGCTCTTCAAACAGTGCTGTTCCCTGGGACAAATCATTAAAGCCTTAGACTGCAGTGTCTGTGGCAGAGAGGGCTTTGCTGAGGACTCACTTGCACCCTGTGTAGAGCTCCTGAGCACTGGTATTTCACGCTCTTTTCCAGTAAGTCCTCGAAACGTCTGCCAGACAAAGGTAAGTTTTCCATTCCACTCAAAAGGAAAACTTCCTGGGATGTGAGATTGACAGCCATTAGAGACTGGCTACCTGACTTTTGACCTGCTGGTTATGTAATTAATATGTCTGCTCAGTTCTGTTCTACTAATATGTTTCTGTCTGGCCGTTGAATTAAAACAAACCAACCAACCAACAAGAACAACAACAAAGTGATTGTTGCTGGCAGGCACCATACCTTTAATCCCAGCACTCAAGAAGCAGAGGCAGGGGGATTATTTTTGAGCTTGAGGCCAATCTAGTCTACATAGGGATGAGGCTAGCCTGAGCTACCTAGTGAGTTCTAAGCCAGACAGGGCCACATAATGAGATCCTGTCCTAAAAAAATAAAAGATTGTTTATAATCTATGCCCAATGTACAGACTCAGGAAAACAGATAAAGAAAAATTACAAATAACTCATGTCAGTGAATCATCCTCATCCACTCTGCGGTGACATTTTTATGGGTATCACTGGCTGGTTTTCACTTCCAGTGAGAACCTGTATCTAAATAGACTAAATCTATGTCAGACTACACGATCTCTCGGCTTCCCTTTCCAGGAAGCCTCAGGAGTCCCTGCACCTGTGTGTTCTGTGGTAGTGGTAGGCCCTTCAGAGCAGCCATGGTTGCAAAGAGTAAACCCCGCTGAGCCGCGCCTGCTAGAGCGCAAACCATGGCCCCACATGGGAAGCATTGCCCGGACTGTTGTTTTCTAGAAAGTGAAACACTAGAGACTTTTTAAAAAGAGGGAAGAGATTTGGCAGGAAGAAGGCACGCAATGGAAAATCTTCGGAGCAGATTAAGGTGGTGGCTGCGAACATTTGAATGTGCTAAATACCAACTGTTTCCTTTCACATGGTAAGTTTTAATTTTAAACAATTTCTATGTGAATTTCATCTCGATAAAGAAAAAATACCAAAGGCAGGCTGGCGGTGCCTGGCCTCCAGGACTGGGCTCCTAGCATAAGAGTAAGGTCAACCCAGATGAATGGGCTGGGCTGCCTGCCTAGCAAAGGAGAAAATCTAATTTCTCCTTTCTGTGATTAGATGGCCAGAAAGCATTACTAACCAGGATGCCAGAGGACTCTAGAGAAGGCAGTCTGCCATAAAAGCAAGGAAAAAAATACCTGTGACAGGCAAGAAGCTGGAAGAGAAGACACAAAAGCCGTGTAGGTCTCCCTGCTATGAAAGCCACCGACTGCACGAACCACACGTGATATACTATGTGTTCACTCCAGCACCCTCATACCAGAGAAAAAGACTTTGAGCCCCACATCTTCTTAGCTTCAGAACGGAGGTTACGTGAAAGACTATGCACTGCAAAGCCCCTGCTCCTGTTGGTGGCTCACGCTCAGCTGCTCTTTCTCTGGAGTCATTCGGTTTTCTGCCATTAAAGGCAAGCATCCAATATAAGGACACAAGGAAGTCCTGTGACAGGGGATGCACGGAGATGGCAGTGCTACCACCATCGCCCAGCACATTGTTAGTCCTTTGTAGTTACCGGATCTCATTTTACCTGGCGTTGTCCCTACACAGTGGCAGTGCTGGCTTCCTGTTATTTAGGCACCGACACAGTCTGCCTAGACAAGGGAAACAGACTCCAGTAACACCAAAAGCACCTGTAAATGCTCCTAACTTCGGCCAGCACCCACTCCTTACAGTGCGATGTTAACCCAGCATATCCTAACGTGTTCAAGCCACCCGCATGGCCTGCATCCAACAAATACAATACTATAAACAATTTTGTTTGCTAAGATGTGATTACTCCTTGGAACATCCAACTTCAAGTCAGTTTCAATAGGGTTGGACAATACGTATAGAAAAGAATGAAGCTGAGAGTTAGGGTACCTGGCTCTGTCTTTAGTTTTATGCTAATCGCCTATTGGCCCCATGCAACAATCTGCTCACCTCTAGTGTGAACTACTGTTTGCACGTTACCCAAATATCTCTCAGTCAATTAGCCCACATCCATGATTTGACTTCACGCCTTTGTCTATTTTTGTCTTACCGCTCTCAAATTTGAATAGTCTCATAGCAAACCCTCTGAAGTGGTAACTTATAAGGAAGGGGGTGTGGATCTGAATGTATTGGCTTACATAGAAACCAGGTAAGATAAACTGTGTGTTCGTCAGCATTCTTCTGATAATCAGCCCAATGCTATATTAACCCTTGACTGAATTCACAACCCCAACTCACAGACACCACCGTTCCTCTTGCCCAAATACAGAGCCTGAGATGGACCGCAGAGCTCTTTTTACAGAGACACAAGCAACTTGCTCTGTTCACCCGGCAGTTTACTAACTGAACAGCCCAAGCTTGGGAAGCAGTACCTTCACAGCCGGCTTGTTAATTGCATTGTGGCATTCGATGTGCTGGCAGTGGATGGGATTCCAAGCTGGAAAGCAAAAGAGAGCCGGTGAAGATCTCTCACTGAAATTGAGACCCCAGTAAAAAACACACTAGGTAGTTCACTAGTTTTCTTTCTCCTAAACAGAAACATCATCAGATGGTGTCCTAACAGACTCAATCACCTATGAAAACAAGTTAAAATCAGGCAAAGACATGGTGACTCTATTCACCTTCCCTGGGAAAGAAAGCCAGCGGCAGGTAGAGCTCACAGGTCCATAATATTCATGAGTTCTCAGGTTTCCCAAGGATATTTTCACTGGATTCCCCAACAGTTCTGCAGCTAGGTATGACAGTTTATTCAGCTCTTGTCACATAAAACTAAATTAAATTTTCTGGTTGTGTTGGTATACACTGGTAGGATTTGCTGAAGGAGGTGGAGGCAGGAGGATCATGAGTTCAAAGCCAACCTGGGCTACACTTTTTTTTTTTTAAAAAAAGCCAGGGAGTAGTGGCGCTTGCTTTTAATTCCAGCACTCAGGAGGCAGAGGCAGAAGGATCTCTGTGGGTTTAAGGCCACCCTAGTATACAGCGCAAGTTTCAGTACAGAGAAACCCTGTCTCAAAAAAGTTAAATTTAAAAAGGTTATGTCACCCGATATTGTCACAGTTCAGGTAAATGCAAGCTGAGGCTAGACCCTGCAGCGCTAGGCTCCCGATCCTGGCTCACCTCACGAAGCACGCACAACGCCCTAAGCTTTTAGCGCCAGCAGCTTTTCAAACAGGCAATGACGTGATGGGTCAGAAGGAATTCTCCACCATTCTAGTTCCCACCCCTTCTTCTTCGTCATGTGGAGACTGGAAAGATGAACCTCAGCTAGCCTGCCGATACCTCTACCAAGCCCTAACTCAGTCTCTATAAAGAATGAGGGCCAACAGGACGTGATCTGAGATGGACCAGGAAGCGCTCACAGCCAGCAACCGCCCTTTACGTGCTCTGATGAGGTAAAATGTTTGTGTGGTTCAAAGTAGGCCCGTTCTGAACGGCCACAGTCTAATCTTACGGGACTGCGGGTCAATTCATCCTAAGCACTGACCAGAAAACAGCACTCTAACCACAGGTTCGTATTGGCTCGCTCTGAGGGAAAGAAATGAGTAGATAAATGAAGACTCACTCGGGTGTGGGTATCACATAACCAGATTCCTTTCCAATGTGTCACAAAAGAATAGTAGTAAGTTTCCTTCTGCCATGGGAGAAAGTTCACAACTGCCTTGAGACAGTGACCTGCTGCAAATACGGGGGACGACCTGCTGCAAATACGGGGGACAGACACCCTCCTTCTCCATCCCAAACTCACGAAAGACATAACTAGTCCATTCCAGCCTTCTTCCTGCTGAGTTCATAACGGAGCTTCAATCCTTCCTCCCGTGCCTGTCACCACGGGTCAAAGCTGGGCTGGCATATACAGTGGCGTCTGTTGACCCTCCCCAAATCCATCTATTATGAGAAAACTGTAATTATTCAGCCACAGATAAGGCTGCACTTCCAGGTTCTAAAGGCAGTCACGTGCGGACTGGAGAGCCCCGTGGCCCACGTGAGCGCAAGCATGGTTACCTCCACGTGCGGCTCAGCTAAAACCCTTGTGCGCATGCGTCAGTTGCCCATCTGCGTCATCAGCGTATAACGTATAAGGTAGTCAGGCCAACCCCCTGGGCGCATGTGCTAGGCAGCTTTTAAAGCTGGACGCGCCATTTTCTCTAATTTCAAAAATGTAGTATTTAAAGCATATCCACTGCTATGGTACAGTACAAATACGCCAACATATGCAGTAGCCACGACACCTTATCAGGGCTCTAATGACTTCCGCTCTGTGGACGAGAGATATATGGGAGGACCAATTCCTTTCGGGTTTTTTTGGTTTTTTGTTTGTTTTGTTTTTTTAAATCCGTTTTACCCACATCTTTGAGTTAAGAACAGATTCTGGGATAGTCCACTTGAGTAATTTTTCAACTTTGATGAAATTTGTTAACCCACAGACCCTGAAAGCTCAAACAGTTGTTGTCAAGACATAGCAAAGGAAGACACAGAAATTCATTAAGACAGCCGGGCGGTGGTGGCGCAAGCCTTTAATCCCAGCACTTGGGAGGCAGAGGCAGGCGGATCTCTGTGAGTTCGAGACCAGCCTGGTCTACAAGAGCTAGTTCCAGGACAGGCTCCAAAACCACAGAGAAACCCTGTCTCGAAAAAACAAAAAACAAAAAAAAAAGATCATATTGATGGAAAACTTTTAAAGCAGCCATTAAAAGCAAACGATACATTACTTATAGGAGGATAAAGATAAGAAAGACCACTGATGTCTTCTTAAAAACAATGCAAACCGAGACATAAGAAGTCGAGCTAAAACTGGTCTGGAAGTTTCCTGCTTCCTTGGTAGCCTTCACAGTGCTGCTATGTAGACTGTGGGGTGAGGGGAAACAATCATCATAGACAGTTACCAGGTCCTCGCGTGCCTGCGATACTGACCAACCAGGCAAGATGTGAGTGGTGCGACCTCTGTTTGAGTGTAGGCAGCTGCCTCCTGATTGCATTTAAGCCCACTCCACGGAGGGAATTGGGAGGGGATTCAGTGCTACCATAAACAGTAAAAGCCTGCACCTGGGAGAGTGGAGAGAGGGTCGTCAGTGCTAGTGGAGAAACTATCGTTGTTGTTTTGCTAAAATAGCACACGATGTGCCCATCAAAGTGCCTTCTAAATAACTGTATTTAAGCCCACAGGTCAGTGCTGCTATCAGCTTTGATTGGAGCCGCTTTCATTTGCAATGGACAGGAGTCATGCAGAGACTGTAACTGGTGTGAGTAAGTGATGGCAAAAGGTGCCTACTGAATGCTCAGCTATAAATGGGGCGCGCGCACACATACACCGGGCTCAAGGAACATCATGGAAGCAGGAGCAGAGAATTTAAGAGCGGGAGGTAAATGGGGGAGGGGTGTGGAACACTGACTTCCAGGTACCACAGGGATTGAACTCACAACAGCTGTGTTTCCCTGCTGGAGGAAGAGCTGCACAAACCCTGTCAACAACCTCTCACAGAGAGGGAAGGGACCCACAGGGCTGAAGATTTATACACAGTTATTGGTTGGCAGTAGAGGGAAAAAGTTTCCAAGAGGTGGGGCCGCTGGTAAGATTCCCTTGCTCCTGCAAGCAGCCCCTCCCCCAGGAGCCTGCAAGCAGCCCCCCTCCCAGGGGCTATATCTAATAAGAAAATATTCCTCAGAAATATATACTAAACAACAGCTATTCAAGATTAAAAAAAAAAAAAAGGAACAAGGGCTGAGTGAAAATTCATTCCTATCTCAGAGTGTGAGTCAGCGCATCATTGTCTGAAGGCACACTATGGTGTTAAAGGTACAAAAACCTTAGAGAGAGAAAAATTTAAATAAGTAAAAACTGTTAATACAATATAGAAAAATTAAGCCAAAATGTTGAGAAGTTAGTAAAGAACAAGTGGTCTCATCATAAAGCAAGGGGCCAAAGATGAGCCCATCCAATCAGCAGACACTGTGAGTGACCTGGACAAGCGGCCCATGGCATGTAAATGTTCTAAAAGGCAGAGATTGTGAAATGAGATTCTTTGAAAAAGCATGACTCTATCATATGCATATAAGAAACACTCAAAATACACACAAAAATGTGGACAAACAGAAAACTATGCCATGTAAACACGCATGCGTCGAATCTGGAGTCTCTACATAAATGTCAGGCATGCTGACCCCAGGACAAGGAACATGAGCAGAAAAAGAACAGTTTTCCATAAAGATGGAAGGGTCAAGAGAGCAAGGACCAGAACAGCCACGAACACAGGTACATTTATTAAACAGAAAGAACCAAGCAAGGCATCGGTAATTACTGTTGTAAGTTCCAACCATCTTTCTCTATTCAGTAACTGATGAAATGAACGGACAGAAAGTCAGTAAAATTGAACAAATGAAACAAGATCTCACACAAAAATGAAATAATAACAGGATTCTCTGTACAACCGCCCTGAACACACATTATTTTAAACTACACAAGTAACATTTACTAAGACGCACAATTAGAATCAAAACTTTAGATGGCTTTACAGCACACAGGCTTCGTAAGCTCTCTGGTGACACTGGAATACGACTGGGGATCAATGACACAGAAGTGTCTGGAAAATCGCTAAGGATCCGCACATGTGAGTTAAAGTTCCCCTCTGACTCAGGATATGACTCATGGGATTAACAACCACAAGAAGTGTTAGCATTCAATACCGAGATATAGCAGGTTCCTGACATGCATGAAACAACACTCAGAGGGAAACCTGTAGCTCTCAATTCTTACGGTAAAAATACAAAAAGACATTTATGCTGTTTCTTTATGAAGATGGAAAAATATAAAATCAAAAGTAATATTAAAAGAGAAAGAAATACAGACACAAACAAGAGTTAGTAAAGCTAAAAACAGAGAAACAGTACAGAAAATGAATAAAAAACAAAAACCGGTTCTTTGGGAAAATCAAAAAATTGATAAGTTCTGAGCTAATTCTTCAACCCCAACATGTGTAGCCCAAGCCGGCTTTGAACTTGTGATCTTTTTGCCTCAACCTCTTTAAGCAAAAGTTATCAGCACGTGCAACCACATTCAGCATCTCCTGTCTCCTAAGCTTCTTGATCATGTCGTAGTGAATGTGCTCCATAATAAATAAGTAAATAAATAAATAAATAAATAAAAAATTGATAAGTTTTCTAACCAGCCCAGTGAAGAGGAAAAACAAAAAAATCACAAGACGATATATAAGTTACCCATGCCTGAAGTGAAAGGTGGGAGTTATGCAGCCCTATAGATATAGCTCATCTATGAATTGGATGAAATGTCCATATTCTTCAAAAGGTGCAATTTTAAAATATGTTCCAAAGTAACCCTACAACTGTCATATAAATTAAATTCATAACATAAACTCTCCCCTCTAAGAAGAAAAACAAAAAACAAAATCTCTGAGTCCAGATGGCTTCAGTTGGAATTCAGGA